TTTTTTTTTTTTTTTTTTTTTTTTTTTGGCAAACAGCAATAGTTTTAACTTCTCCCACTGATTATGTATGAGCTGTTGAACCATGTTTTATTCATTGGTCCTTCTCCTTCTGTCCTTAGTAGGGAGATGGCTGACTGGCTCTACTTCTGAAGAACTGGAAAGGCTTGTTTGAAGTGGGAGCCAGCATAAGTGTAGAAACTGTTCTGCTTTTGTAGGACTGCACAGAATTAGCCCTGATAAAATATTTACAAGAGAAAAAAGTAAGTTCTATATGGGGATTAAAGCTATTAATTGGCTCCTAACAACCAGGCTAATTGGATGAATGAAATAGCACCTAAATGTTCAGTTTGGAAGACAAATGTTCTAAGTGTACGGAATGATAGAATAATAAAGAAAAAGTACAAACACAGGGTAAATCCCACCTGCAAAGTTGTATGTCTCAATTTTGATAAAAAGCTGGGATTGCTTTGGTTGAACTGGATCATTAATTATGATTAGGATTTGGAAAATAGTTTGCCCTGGGATTTCTGAGGGTCATTTTTATTAGGAGACTGCCTAACAGAATTATGGCAACAATCCCTAACTGTTCCCATCCTCACCCTACCACCAGAGGCACTCTACTAATGTACTTAAAAACATTCAAGCATCTCAAGTAACAATTTTGCCATTTGGAGTTTTCCGAGAACTCATCTGCCTCAAGAGCTACAGTATCTTGCTTTATGCCCAGAATGTGTGGGTTGTCAGAGCTAGGACCAGGTGCCTACGCTGACCAAGAAGTGTCTGAGAAAATGCCAGTTAGAGCCACAGAGCGGTCCTTGGTGAGCCTGCTCAATTTTCTACTTCCTGAATGTTAGAACGGCATGGTACCGTAAGAGAACAATAAGAGAACTGTCCTGTTCGTAGGGCTCACCCAATTATCTCCAGTGCCTCGGAATCTCACCTCCTCTAGCTTCTCACCACCCTGAAGACAGCCAAAGAAGGTAGCCGTTAGGTAAAGCAAACGTTCCTTTATTTGGCCCATACCGGCTAGGCCACACTTGACACCGAAGGCAATAGAAAGGCAGGATGGGTCACCACCCATGTACAATCCTAACCAAAAGGTTTATGGAGGAGTCTTAAATGCCCCCACAACCCCGCGTCGCAAGGGCAGCTGGAACTCAGCTTCTCACAAAGGTTCTAGGTTCAGAGGGCTTCTCATCCTAAAACTTAGCAATTGGAATGAAACCTTTCCTCATTGGACACAACTCAATTCTGCAGACTTAACAAGCTACCTAGCTCTCTACCCCGCCCCCAACGCCATTTAACATCGGTGTCCCACAAAGTGGGAGGGCACCTATTATTTTCCCATATGAGAACAATACAGCCTAGGTCTCAGTTCCTACCTGCCTATTACCTCCTAGGTAGTCTGTGCCTAGTGCCTGTCTCCACCTCCATTCCCACCCAACCACAAATTGTAAGTTCGTTTTAGCATCCAAAGCCGGCTTCAGCTCTCCCCGGGGCAAATGCTCGAAGCGAGGTGGGACTGCGGCGGCTCTGACGCCAGCTCCCTGGGGATCCTCATGAGCCCCAGTGGGGCCGCGGGATCCTCCTGTTTCCTTCTGCCTTCTCTCTCCCCCACGCAGTTCCAGATCACTCTCTGCAGTGGGTGCTCAAGCGCAGGGATCAGCGCACCACGAGGCTGCTCTGGCTGCTGCGTCCGCAGGCGGCGCCTTAGCCGGGGACGAGAAGGAAGGGGGGACGAACAGTCTGCGGCTCTGGATACTGTGGCGAATACCTCCCCCTCCTCCGGCAACTTTGTATCGCTTGGGACTTCCTCCCCGTTTCCCGCGATTTCCAGTTTGCACAAACAAGGCCGACTGGGCCTGCGACTTGGGGTGGGCCTCCTGCACAGCCTCGCTGGCTTTGCTGGGGTCGGTCAGGCGGGACCCCGCTCGGCCCACCTACTAGGGGAGAAACCCGTGCCCAGGTCCCCCTCCCCGCCCACCCTACCCCAAACCCCGCCAACGGCCCAGGAAGTTGCATTCAGATCTGGAGGGATGTCCCACGCCCCTCCCCCTCCACGCCTTATCACCTGCTGCCGGGGCAGCGGCAGCGCGGTCCTCCTGCCGGCTAGGCTGTCGGGTGCTTTGGGGCGGGGTGGGAGGGAGCCAGCCAGCCTGCTACAGGCCGAGAGGGAGCTAGCGAGCGAGCAAGCCCGGCGCCGGCTGGGGAGCAAGGGAGGAGGGAGGATGGCAGCTCGGGCCCAGGGGCCGCCAAGGGGCTGGCGGCTATCGCCGCCACTGCTGTTGCTACTGCTGCTGCTAGCGGACCGCGCCGCCGCCTCCAAGCTCAACATACCCAAAGTGCTGCTACCCTTCACGCGGGGCACCCGCATCAACTTCACACTGGAGGCCTCGGAGGGCTGCTACCGCTGGTGAGTGAGCCAGTAAGAGCCGTCCTCTCCCCGCAGCCACCCTCTCCCCTCCCTTGGGGCCCAGGCCGAGGAGGAGGAGGGAGCAAGAGCCAGAGCGCGGGCTGGAGCCGGCGACTGGGGCCGTGGGCGGGGGCAGCAGCTAGACCTGCAGCCGGGAGGGGCCAAGGGGGTGCCGGGCCGCAGCAAGGCCGGCGCGTGCCATGCCCGTGCAGCTCCAGGCAGGTGCGTCTCCGCTGGCCTGGACTACAGCCACGGCTCCCCCGGAGCCAGAGAGGGAAGGCCAAGCCGGAGGGGGAAGAAGGGGAGCCCTCCCCGGGTTGGCAGGACCGAGCCTAGCCGGCTGCACATGGCGTCGCGAGGATCCGAGAGCGGCTGCCAGGCTCTGCCGCGGTCCTGGTCGGCCCCGCCCCCTGGGATGCTCCCGCTCCCTCCAGCCCCCCACTCCTCCCCATACGGGAGAGGAGGGGGCCTGGCGCTGTCTGGACCCCTGGCGGTGGTTGTGTCGGCTGCTGCTGCGGCGGCTGCTGCTTTTGGCGCGGGAGAGAGAGAGGGAGGGAGCAGGGAGGCGGCCCGATCTCGCTCGCCTACCGCAGCGCGGCGGCTGCGTGGGTGCCCTGGCCTCCTCCTGGGGGCTCCTCAGCAGCCATGCGTCGGAGCCTTTCACCTCGCAGGGGCCGTGGGAAGGGGAAGGCGCTGGTCTCTGTTGCTCCTGCTGAGCCAGGTTAGAGGCCAGGCCTTGGTCAGTGTTGGAGGCCTGGCGGGCCTTGGCACTGAGGGTGCCCTGGGGGCAAGGACCTGGCCCCTGGCGGGAGATTTACGCCTGCGTGGAGGCAATGTTTTTCACTTAGGGAAGTCAGGGTTGGGCACAGGGGAGGCACTGAGTCACCGACCACTGAGGTGAATCTGGCCTGTGACCTGAAAGGGCCAAACCCTAAATGGTAAGCTGCTTGTCCTTTTATCAGTTGAGGCAACATAGTGGTACCTTAGAAGGGACTAAGCATTTATTAAGCACCTATCGTGTTCAAGGCACTGTTCGAAGGACTTTACACATATTTTTTTGAAAGAGGTCCCACTTAGCTGAGGGAAATGTGGGCATTCTGGGCAGGTACTCTCTTGTCAAATTTGTAATGGATCTGATAGAATCCAGACCTGAATCCCAGGAAAACATTCCATTATCTCTCTCTCTCTCCCCCTCCCCCTCCCCCTCTCCCTCTCCCTCTCCCTCTACCCCCTTCCCCCATCCCAATTCAGAATACTTCCTGTTCAAATCCTGCCCATTGACCACCATTATCTAGGTTATACAGACTTTGCCATTACACTACTGCTTTGTTTTGCCACATACACTTGGCCACTGCATTCCCAGCTCCCAGGGAAGTTTGAAAACTTGGTCTTAACCAGGTGTCACATGGCAGGAATGATTACCGTGTGGTAGAGATATTAAAAAGCAAAATTGCCCCAGTCTTCAGGATCATAGATTCTAGAAGAGTTGGAAAAGATTTCAAATATCATGCAGACTAAGCCCTTTGACTTTACAGAAGAGTAAACTGAAACTAAGAGACGGTTCATGATTTACCCAAGGATATACAGATAGTAAATGGGAGAGCTGTTATTTTTACCTACATCTTCTGACTCCCAAATCTAGTACTCTTTCCAGATATTCTCTCAGATAACAAAGCTGGAGTGTAGTGGAGGTAGTTATATGTATGAATTTAGGCCAAATAATTTTTGAATTTTTCTGAATTTCAAATGTAAAAGGAGGTAAGTGAGTTTGTTGTTTTTGGCCTGTTCTCTCTACAGGAATCAAATCTTTGGTCCATTGCTCAGTATTTCATGATGCTTTTCCAGGGTTTAAATCTCAGCTTTCACCACTGATGTTTTAAAAAAAGAAATGAGAACTTGATTTTGTAAAAGTTTTTGTTTCTTGACTCTCAGTCAAGACATTGGGTGTCCTTGAATTCAGAAAGAATTTGGAATCTGAGAACCTAGGTTCAAATCTTAGTTCTACTACTTAGTTATATATATGACCTTGGGCAAATCACTTCTTTGAATCCCCACTTTTTCATTTTTAAAATAATGGGGTGGCATTAGAGGACCTTTAAAATCCTTTCCAGCTCTAAATCTATGATTCTAAGTTTTCCAGTTTCTAGATATTTTATCTTTTTACTTGCTTAGGATCTTTGAAGCAATTTTTTTCTTGTAAGTGTCCATGGAGAGTCACTAAGGGCTTGCCTACTCTGTACCATTACTACATTGTGTCAGCAAATAGAATTATTAATGCTTTCCATTCACTTGAATGACTCTGGATCCCAACCTTTGAGTTGGAAGGGACTTTAGAAGAGCTCATCTGGTCAGATGAAAAACTCAAGCCGAGTTGATGGGAAATGACTTTAATTCAAATCACAGCATCAGTAGTTGAGTTCTCAGGATTCAGCTGAGACTTTCAGGATTAGTGCCCATGGACTACTTTTGGTGGGGTGAGGATGAACAGCCATTCATTAGCCAAAATATTTTAAAGTTTATACATTCACATCCTCTTATATCTAAGTTATCAGTGTTTTTGATGTACAGAAAAAGGATACAAATTATTAGAAACATCTGGCTATAGATGAATGCCCTGAGATGCATTAGAATGCTGTTTCTTCTGAGGTTGTTTATCTAAGATAAATAAAATGATTTTTTTTCTAAAATGATAACATCCAAGTTTTCTTACCTTGTTTTCTTTTCCAAAAGTAGATGAAATATGGAAAATTCATTTTCAGTTAAATTTGTTGACAAGAGTAAATGGGCCGAAGGAGAGGGAAGCCTCTCTGATGTATCTGAAATGAGCTTGTGCTGAAAGTGATAGAAGACTCTCACAGTAAATGTGTGACTGCCTGTTCTGAGAGGTGTTTGGTGATTGTGATTCCCCTAACTTGGCTTTGCAGAGAAACGTTATTAGTCATGCATTCAAATGTTTTCTTTAATTTTAGTGGTACTGTTCTTAGAATAGTTATTTATCTCCTCAGCTCTGCAGAATTGCTTCTCTTGAGATTTTTGAGCAGCACAGCATACAGCTATTTATTCTCAGTTATTGAAGCTTGAAGGAGATTCCTTCCCACCCAAAGAGTTGGTAGGAATCTCTGAGTTAAATCATATTTTGATATGTGCTTGTGTATGTAACATACAGCAAACATACACATATAGAATCAGTAAGCATTTATTTCATATCTACTTTGTGCAAAGCACTATGCGGTGGGGAAGAAAGGCAAGAAAAGGAAAGAAAATGAAACAGGAAACAATCCCTGCCCTCGAGGAAGTTACAGTAGACTGGGCAGATACCAAGTGGAAATATAAATAAATACAAGATCATCTGAGGAGGGAGACAACACTCAAACCTTTGGAATGGGGAAAAGCTTCATGGAGGAGATGGCTTCTGAACTTAGTTTTGAAGAAGGAGGATTCTGAAAGGTACATATGAGGGGGGAACTAATTTTAACCCTAGGGAACAACTAATATAAATACATGGAAGTGAGAGTTGGCATATGGTGTGTATGTGGGGTTGTAGGGGTGGGGAATAAGCATTTATTAAGCACCTCCTATGTGCCAGGCATTGTGCTAAACATATAATTAGCCAGTTTATAGTTAATTAGGATGGTAGGGTAGACTTAGACCTGGACTCAAATACTGTTTAAAATCATGAACTAGTTACTTAATCTCTTTAAGTCCCAGTGCCTCATCTATAAAATGGGGATAAGAGTGTTCATACTACCTACCTCACAAGGTAGCCTCACAAGGCTTTGTGAACTATAACACATTATGTGAACTGTGAACTCTGAAATTTTCCCATTGCTTCCTAGTTGTAATTATTCATAGACTTAAAAGAAACTTTAGAGATCCTCTAGTCTAACATCCTCATTTTGCAAACAAGGATGCTAGACCGTGTAAGGGAACATAAGTTGGCCAAGGTCACAAAGAAAGTTAACTTTCAGAACCAAGTCAGAACCCAGATCTTTAGTCTCATTAGACCTGTTCTTTCTTTAAAAATCAATCAGAAATATTTATTAAGCACTTAACTATGATCCAGGCAGTGTGCTAAATTTTGGGGATACAAATAGAACAGCTTCTGGATCTGATGTTTCCAACCCTACTTACACTGCCAGGTTGAATCCCCAGAGTATGGTTAGTTACATCTTCTTTCAAGGTTCTAGGGGTAACCCTGAGAAGTTTGGGGTGCTGTAATTTGGTACTTTTGTTTACAAGCCCTCACCCCGTGCGTCCTCTCCACAATCAACTAATGAATTAACACAAAGTTGCCTTTACTAAGAAGGCAGAACGAGGATTGATGTCCCAAGGACCACTCCCCCCCCCAACCAGGAGTGATCTCCCCTCTTCACACCTATTTAGTCCCTAGGAAAGGTGGGCTCACTTTTAAAGTGGTTGCAATAAAACACTCCCTCTCCCCACTCCCATGAATATTTCCTGACCTTGGGAATCCTTTCCTCCTTTTGAGGAGTTTCTACCAAAGCACTTTTGAATGTGGCATAACCCATTTAAAAGTTACTCCTTTGCTTGCCCAATGGTGTCTTGACTGCTGGGCTGTAGTAAGCAATTCACTCCTCAGGGTTGGCTGCTCACTAGACTCAGCTTATGCTGCTGCTGGCTCTGTGTGCTGAGGGGGCTGTTTTCAGATCTCTCAGAGCTCACGAGGTTGTAACCTGGTCCATTCCATCTCTAATGCTCATTTACTAAGATCAGGAAAGAATAAACACAAAGAGATTTAAAAAAGAAGGAGTGAATAAACACCAGAAGTATCACACATTCGTGGTCACATGATAGCCATGAGATGAGAAGATGTCTCCTTATATAAGGGAGACAAGGCAGCTGTTACTGCCTTGGCTATTGCTTTTACCTCTCTCTGGCATCCCTAGGGGCCCATAGCATTTTGGCGGAAGGGGAGAAAGAGAGAGAAAGACAGAGATGGAGAAATAGAGATAGAGAAAGCGAGAAGGGAGAAGGGGAGG